TCCTGCTGACAGGCATCCCTGGCCTGGAAGCTGCCCACATCTGGATCTCCAGCCCATTCAGCCTGATGTACTTCATGGTGCTGCTGGGGAATGGCACTGTCCTCATCGTCATCAGGCTGGACAAAAGCCTCCATGAGCCCATGTACTACTTCCTGTTCATGCTGGCTGTCATCGACCTGGTCTTCTCGACCGCTGTCATCCCCAAGATGCTGAGCATCTTCTGGCTGGATTCCAGGGAGATCAGCTTCAAGGCCTGCTTCACCCAGATGTTCTTCATCCACACATTCACGGCGGTTGAGTCTGGGGTACTGCTGGCCATGTCATTTGACCGCTACATGGCCATCTGCAAGCCACTGAGATATGCCATGGTCTTAACCAACCCACGGATTGCCCAGATGGGGCTGCTGTCCTTGGCTAGAGGCGTCGGCGTCATGATCCCCCTCACCTGCCTGCTTGCCAGGTTGCCCTACTGCAAAGGCAACCGCATCCCTCACTCCTACTGTGAGCACATGGCCATTGTAGAACTGGCCTGCGCGGACCCGACAGCCAGTGACCTGTACAGCCTGGTGGTGGCCACACTTCTGGTGGGGGCAGACTCCATGTTCATTGCCTTCTCGTACAGCATGATCCTCCGCTCCGTGCTCCGGCTCTCCTCCCAGGAGGCACGTCTCAAGGCCTTCAGCACCTGTGGGTCCCACATCAGTGTCATCCTGCTCTTCTACTTGGGAGGGCTCCTCTCCATGTATCTTCAGATGTTCTCCCTCAGCCTGGCACCTCACACCCAAGTCCTAGTGGCCGACCTCTACCTCACTCTCCCTCCCATGTTAAACCCCATTATTTATGGCATGAAGACCAAACAGATCCGCAAGCAGGTCTTTCATATCTTTGGCCTGGTATTGGCACCCTTCCTCCCACCAGCTGGGGATGACAGACTCCACGAAGAGAGGTGGTGAGCATGTCTTCAGGTCATGGGGCCATCCTGAACCATGCTCTACCCCCACACTGTGTCTGTACTCTAAGGAGGCTGTTTGAAAAGCCAGTCATGACATTGGCACCATGCAGGAATCCCTGCTCTCGTGAACCTTAACCCAAAGAGCAAGGCTTTGGCTCCAGGGAGCCGCTTGCTCCCAAAAACTGACTCTTGGGCCATGGGAGATAAAGTCAGTGGCATGGGAGGGAGGGGTTCAACTCTCATATGTTCTTTCCCAACCAAGAACCTTCCCCCTGTCCCTGCTACTCACTGAGCTTGCCATGGGACAGGTAACCTCTTTGATGTGAAGACTGAAATAAAAAAATGGCTTCTTCTCCCCATTCAGAAGGGACCTACTCTTTTCTTGCTCTTCTACTTGCTTCTAATTTCCTCACATAGTCCCTCTGTGCTCAAAACACAACTATACACACCTCCATAGTAATACAGCCACATTTCAACAGTCTGTACAATTCTTTTATAGGTTCCAAGTCATGGAAGAGCTCAGGGTGTAGCCAAGCCATATATGTTGAAATAGCATGTTGCTAGAGCCTTAATTTCAGCTTTGTAAGGAACAACCAGCTCTGCTAGATTCCTGACCTTCCTGTGCAAACATTAGAGGGTGGCATATGGGACCTGGAGAAAAATACAAAGTCAGAGGGTGTGTGGCTCAGTGACATGGCTGCTGCCACCCTTTATCGAATAGATAGTGGATTCCTGCTCATAACAGGGAAGAAACTTCCTCACTGCACTGGTCTCTGTGCATTTTGGCCAATAGGATGAAGTTAGGGCAAGGGCTGGAGTTATGGTGAAATTACACATTACATTTAGACCATGCTAAGGAGAGCACACAAACACCAGTAAACTCTCCCTGTGCCTAAAGAACGGTATTTGTTCCTGAAAGCTTGCAAAGAACACTTTTTCCAACTATTTAGTTGGTCTAATAAAAGATATCACATTTACCCTAACAGCCTTGTCGGACCATACTAAGGGCATTTAAAACATGAGTATGTGCATATTAAAGCTTGTTAACATGTGCTAAGTGCCCTCAGAGCCTCTCAGATTTACACCACTTCAGGTAAGGGTTAACTCTGGGCTGTGCTCCCTAGCTTGTGTTAGGGTAACTTCAAACTGGTCCACAGAGATAAAATGAGCAATTTGCAGTCCTCCAGCATCCCAGGATCCACTGCTCCCAACCCTTCCACCCACAGAAGGGACAGAGCCCAAGCTTTGAAAATGTGAACTGTGAAGCTAGTTTAAAGAGCTGAGTTTGTTTAATCCGGAAATAAGAGGATTCATAGATTCATAGATTGGCAGGGGCTGGAAGGGATGCTGTAGATCATCGCATCCAGTCCCCCTGCACTAGGAAGGAAAAGACAACTGGGGTCAAGTAACCCCGGTGAGGTGACCATCCAGTCTCCTCTTGAAGATTTCCAAGGTAGGTGACTGCACCACCTCTGGAGGGAGTTTATTCCACAGTCTGGACACCCTGACTGTGAAGAAGTTTTTCCTGGAATTGAGCCTGAAGCAGCCTTCCAGGAATTTGTTTCCATTGATCCTGGTCTTCTCCCGGGGTGCCCTGGTGAACAGCTGTTCACTGAGCTCCTGATGCCCTCTGATAGAGTGGTAAGCCACTATCAAGTCCCCTCTCAACCTTCTCTTCTTTAGGTTAAAGAGGCCCAGGTCCCTCAGCCTTTCCTCGTATGGTTTGCCTTGCAAGTCCCTGATCATATGGGTGGCTCTTCTCTGGACCCTCTCAAGTTTTTCCACATCCTTGTTGAAGTGCTGTGCCCAGAACTGGATGCAGTGCTCCGTCTGTGGTTTCACCAGTGCAGAGTACAGTGGGAGTATCACTTCCTTAGTTTTGCATGAAATACAACAGTTAATGCATACCAGCATGTTGTTTTCCCTGCTGGCCACAGCATTGAATTGACAGCTTATGTTCATGCGATGGTCAATCACTACCCCTAGGTCCCTTTCAGCTGTGGTGCAAGTCAAACTGTCACCACCAAGACTGTTGGTATGTGGGGGATTGTTTGTCCCCAGGTGGAGCACCTTACACTTCTAAGTGTTGAACTTCATCTTGCTCTGGTCTGCCCAACTCTCCAGCCTATCCAGGTCTGTCTGTATCAGCAACCGATGTTCTGGCATGGCCACACTCCCCCATAACTTGGTGTTGTGCACAAACTTGGCCAGCGAGATTTTCACCCCCACATCCAAATCATTGATAAAGATGTTGAAAAGCACTGGTCCAAGCATGGACCCATGGGGGATGCCACTGCCCACTTTGCACCAGGATGACAGATCCATTCATGAGAACTCTCTGGGTCCTACCTCACGGCCAGTTTTCCAGCCATTGAACTGTTGAGCAGTTAAGCCTACAATCTTCCAATTTTTTTTCCACAAGGATATCATGGGATACTGCATCAAAAGCCTTTTGGAAGTCTAGGTATATAATGTTAACCTTCTCTCCCATGTCCAGGGGGCGAGAGACCTGTCCATAGAAGAAGATAAGATTGATAAGACAAGACCTACCCATGATGAAGCCATGCCGGCTGTCATTCAGAATCTTACCCTCAACAAGCATATCACACGTAGATTCTTTAATGAGTTTTTCCAGGATTTTCCTTGGGATGGAGGTTAGGCTGATTGGTTTATAATTGCCCGGGTCCTCCCTCTTCCCCTTCTTGAAGATGGGCACAATGTTGGCCCTCTTCCAGTCCTCAGGGATCTCCCTTGTGTGCCACGAATTCTGAAAGAGTTTTGCCAGGGGCCCCGCAATGACCTGGGCCAGCTCCATCAGCACTCTTGGGTGAGGTCCATCTGGTCCTGCTGACTTATAAATGTCTAGCTTTTCTAGTTGGTTTTACTCAGCTCAGCTTCCACTGGGAAGCCTATCATTCCTACCATGTCCCCTGTGACCCTTATCTCACCTGTCTTTCCCCTTGGTCCAGCGAAATACCGGAGCAAAGTGGGCATTCAAGAGTTCACTTTTTTCCTGAGTGAGTGTCTGTTACCAGCTGTCCCGAGGTGTTAAGCAGGGGCCTCATGCTTCCATTTGTTTTACTTCTTCTCCCTACGTACCTAAAGAAGGACTTGTTCTTGCCCTTGACTCCCTTGGCTAATATCTCACCTGTCTTTCCCCTTGGTCCAGCGAAATACCGGAGCAAAGTGGGCATTCAAGAGTTCACTTTTTTCCTGAGTGAGTGTCTGTTACCAGCTGTCCCGAGGTGTTAAGCAGGGGCCTCATGCTTCCATTTGTTTTACTTCTTCTCCCTACGTACCTAAAGAAGGACTTGTTCTTGCCCTTGACTCCCTTGGCTAACTTAAAATTAGTCACCACCTTAGCTTTCCTCATCATTTCCCT